GCACTTCGTATGCAGGGTGCTGCGGGGCCGAGTGGTGTTGACGCCGAGAACTGGGGGCATTTTTGCGCTAGTTTCTCTGACGCCTCCAAGGGCCTTTGCGATGCACAAGCATCGTGTGCAAGGCGTTTGGCCTACACATACGTGCACCCAGCATCTTTGTCGGCTTTCACTGCGTGCAGATTGATAGCGTTGGACAAGCAACCCGGTGTTCGGCCGATTGGAATAGGTGAGGTCGCTCGACGCATTAAAAGCAAGGCCATCCTCTCCGTCGTAGGCCAAGCCGTTCAGGAGGCGGTTGGGTGTATACAGCTATGCGCTGGCCAAGATTGCGGTATAGAGGCGGGAATACATGCGATGCAGCAGGCCTTTGAGATGGATGACACCGAAGGAATTCTGATGGCGGATGCAAGTAATGCGTTCAACAGACTAAATCGACAGACTTGCTTAAGAAATGTTCGGCACTTGTGTCCATCACTTGCTACCGTTCTGATTAATACTTACCGTGATCCAGCTCATCTCTACGTGGACGGTGAAAGTATCCTGTCGCAAGAAGGGACAACACAGGGTGATCCCCTTGCAATGTACATGTACGCGTTGGGAATAATGCCCTTGATACGTTTGGCGGATGAGGCGGGTGCGGTGCAGTCATGGTTCGCGGACGATTCATCCGCTGCTGCTCGTCTTCGCAGACTCCGTCTATGGTGGGACATAATGGACAAGAGAGGACTGGCATATGAATATTACGTAAACCCAAAGAAATCGGTCCTTGTCGTCAAGGAAAGGTGTTACCAGGAGGCGACTGAATTGTTTCGGGACACTGGTGTAATGATAACGGACGAGGGATCACGATTTCTTGGCGCAGCAATCGGAAGGGACAGCTTTCTTCAAAGTTATATCAAAACAAAGGTGGACGAATGGATGGGGGAACTGAAGAAGCTAGCAGTATTTGCACAAACCCAGCCGCAGGCTGAGTATTCTGCGTATGTGACGGGCCTCCGGGTAGATGGGCGTTCCTCTGTCGTACCATGAAGGTACCCGAACCCATGTTCCAACCGCTGGAGGACATTGTGAAGTCTGAACTGATTCCCGCCTTAACTTGCGGTGCATCCCCAGGCGACACCCTCCGGCGGCTTATGGCTTTGCCGTGTCGTCTGGGTGGGCTCGGTTTGATTAACCCTGTGTCCCTATGCCAACAATACGAATCGTCGGTTCGGATGACCAACCCTTTGTCTCGGAGAATCTTGTCGGGGGATGGCTCCATCGGTGACTCCGTAGTATTAATCAGATCGGCCAAGAGAGACGCCAAGGCATCTTCTCGACGCCATCAGAAACTGGAATTCGAGGCGATATCGGGCAGTGCGTCGGAGTCGCTACGACATGTCATAGACGTCGCGAAGGAGAAATGGTCGTCGAGCTGGCTGACGTGTCGTCCACTTAAGAAGTATCATTTTAATTTATCGAATGGAGAGTTTTGGGACGGGCTCTGCCTCCGTTACGGATGGACACCGGCCAGGGTACCGCCACACTGCTCTTGCGGCCAAGTGGCAACTGTCGCGCATTCCCTGTCGTGCCCCTATGGAGGGTTTCCCTCCATTAGACACAATGGTATTCGGGACGTCACGGCCCGCCTGCTGGACGAGGTGTGCACCAGTGTGTCCATCGAGCCCTTGCTGCAACCGCTGACGGGGGAGCGTCTTCGCTACCGGACCGCAAATGTGGAAGACCGTGCCCGGTTGGATGTCGCTGCCAATGGTTTGTGGGGCAGTCGTTTTGAGCGTACACTTATTGATATATGGGTTTTTAATCCTCACTCACGCTCACATCGATCTGCACCGCATACTATTGTGTATCAGCGACATGAAAAAGAAAAGAGATGGCACTATGAGGAGCGGGTGAGGCAGGTTGAGCAAGACTCCTTTGTTCCGGCGGTCATGTCAGCCAGTGGCGGAATGGGTCCAGCATCAACAGCACTGTATAAACGAATTGCTCATCTGTTGGCTGAGAAGAGGGGTGAGCATTACTCTCATGTTATGGCATTTGTTAGATGCAGGATTTCCTTCAGCCTTCTGAAATCCTGTATCATGTGCATTCGCGGTTGTAGGCGTTTAAATTTTAGTTTGAAATTTGTACCCTCCTGCGGAGCCCACGCTGCTTTGGCAGTGGCGGAGGCTCGCTTGCCGAAGTAACCGTCGGAGATCATCATGAACAATGGACTGACTAATTATTCACTCGTCCTGTCTTTCTAAATAACATGTTATTGCACATGTTCTTGGTTTAGTTTTTGGCCTTTTTCGTGCTTTGGAGTTATTTGTTGTTGACATGTATAGCCCTTGGCGGATTATACTGGCAAAACAAAATCGTGAATCGATTCGCGTGCATAATCGAACGCACTCAGTGCATGCCAAACACATAAAAAGTGACGCGCGTGACCCATGGCGAAGAGCGGGAATTTTGATTTCTGCATGAGCTGCCTGTACTGGTACCGTGCAGCACTTGGCTCAATATTTCAAGAATACTATTTCTTGGTCCGCTAGTATGATCTCGGTGGAACGCCTCCACAACTGGTGTATTCCTCTGAGTATGCTGGAGTTGTGAACCATAGCGGCCGTGTATATCATTTCCTGAACATCTCCGGATAGCTGCTTTGCGCACAGATTCAGCTCATCTGCAATCCTCTTCTCGGCAACAGCTCTTTTAATCATAGTTCCATTTTCTCGCTGGTATTTTCCCCATAGTTCTATAAGCCGTAGCTGCACCTTGGGAGAAAAGACAACTCGAGGCATGGTACCGGCCTCTCCAAAAAGGAACAAAAACTCTGCGCACTCGACACACCAAACCACTCGTTTCGCCTTGCCTGAAAACCAAAAGCCGAAATCCGCTTTCAAAGCCGCCTTCAAAGCCGCTCCGGGATGGCTTTGAACGTTGATGTGATTTTTCACTTTTCGCGCATGTTTCCATGCCCACTTCAAAGAACATGATGCTTGTAAGTTGTATCCGGTTTTGTACTGTAGCGGAGGCAAAACGCGTATCTACCGCAGCCGCTTTCGCGGAACACACGATGCAGCGGTCACACATACATATAGGGCGCTTTCGATCACACGCATTTCGGTCAATTCTAGAATTAGTTATTGTTGATGCACAGTTCAATTACACAAAAAGTGACAAATTCCGTCGTTAGAATTGATTCTATCCAATTCCGTCAAATCCGTCCATTCTGAAAAGAGGGCGGAATTTCTCTAATTCTGGCGCCAGAATTGCATGCTAGGTGTGTCTAGTCATGTGTCGTATCCGGTCGGCCCGGGGTTAGACCCCAAGGCCGCGGTCATCCACATAACTAACTTACTAAAACTTCTTCTTACAAGGCCGTGCAGTGGTGGCCGCTTGGAGAGAGAGTCCACCAACAGAATTACTCTTACGCATGCACGCACATATACCTAGACATACTCTCACACACACACACACACACACACACACACACACACACACACACACACACACACACACACACACACACACACACACACACACACACACACACACACACACACACACACACACACACACACACACACACACACACACACACACACACACACACACACACACACACACACACACACACACACACACACACACACACACACACACACACACACACACACACACACACACACACACACACACACACACACACACACACACACACACACACACACACACACACACACACACACACACACACACACACACACACACACACACACACACACACACACACACACACACACACACACACACACACACACACACACACACACACACACACACACACACACACACACACACACACACACACACACACACACACACACACACACACACACACACACACACACACACACACACACACACACACACACACACACACACACACACACACACACACACACACACACACACACACACACACACACACACACACACACACACACACACACTCAGGCATAATTATAAAGACACGTACACTCACACCAGCGTTCAGGTTTACTCACATCTTCAACGAAGGTAACATAGTTCAAGAGATGATATGAGAGCACAAGGCAAGAGAGACGGAAGCCAAAGCTTCCGCCTGAAGGAAGAGAGAGAGAGAGAGAGAGAGAGAGAGAGAGAGAGAGAGAGAGAGAGAGAGAGAGAGAGAGAGAGAGAGAGAGAGAGAGAGAGAGAGAGAGAGAGAGAGAGATAGAGAGAGATAGAGAGATAGAGAGAGAGAGAGAGAGAGAGAGAGAGAGAGAGAGAGAGAGAGAGATAGAGAGAGAGAGAGAGAGAGAGAGAGAGAAAAGTAAAGTAAATTATCGTGTCCGTTCCCGAAGGGAACTCACGACGGCCGCTAACACCCGATAAATCCTTACTTAGCAATAATGTGTATAAACTGTATCACAAAGAGCAGGAGCCAGCTAAGGAAAAACAGGGTATACAAAATAAGGAAGGCGCCAGGCTTTGTGTGAATACATAAAATAAAGGCGATTATGAATCCGTTTACGGGATATAAATAAATAACTAGACACCTAAATAAAGGCAGACTTGTCACGTAGATGCCTAAAAGGCATGTGTCAATAGTATGGATATGACATATCCCCCGCTTACATGGAAAAGAACATGTCCTCGCGTTATAAGTAACTTCATAAATTAGACTAAGAGTATGGGTAACAATTTTAACTAAACGAGTGCAGGTCAAATTGGAGTCCCTACCAAAATTGTTCCAAAACTAACTGTAATATCGAACACAACCAATCCAGTCAGTACCACTGAAGTCACTTACTCGTGCCACACAGGACTCCCAAACAGCTGGGGCGGATGGCGGGAACGCGGGGTTCGCCTTTTCATCGCGCCAACTGGCTGAGCACTGTCAAATACCCGAGCGGTGTCCTCCTCGTCTCGGGCGGCGGTGGTCGTCCGTTGGCACCAATTAACCTGGGGCCTTGGTCAGAGGTTTCCTTTTCCAGCTCCTTAGGTAGGCGGTCGGCAAAATCCTCTGACAACAATCTAGCGGCGGATCCTGTATCAATCACAGCGTTTTCTGGACATCCATTCACCACTCCAGGCACCAACATGTTCGCACGCTCACTCGCATTTTCAAAGAAGACCGAACACATACGTCAGGCTATTGTTTTCTGTCGCAGTCTAAGTTTTGCAGATACTGACTTCAACCCCAGGGTTCCACTTCCCGGGAAAATCTACAAAAGCGGATGCAAACGGCCTCCCGTCTTTTACAGCACAGCCTTGATGCTTTGCTCTTCGTTAACAATGACAACTCTCGGAGTAAGTACTCCGACAGACTGAGAATCCGCAGAAAAGGGCACTAGACTAGAGCCATTTCGTCGCTAAAGAGCGGTAAAAACTGTACTCTTCTGCTCTGCTCTAAATCCCCTGGGTGGTTTCTCTGACAATTTCCCAGGACATGGTGCATACTCCTCCAGCTAATAAAGTTCCAATGGGTCCCTCGGGATCATTGTGTTTTGAACCATTATGTTGGGGGTCTCGACGCCCAGAGCTTGGAAGATAATCAATTAGGCTTCCGGTAAATTCCGGGCATGGTCATCACAGAATTAGAGCTATCCGATCTCTAAAGAGCGGTAATAGCATCAGCTATATCCCAGAGGCTAATTCAGAGTTTTCTTGTAAGAATATTTGATTGAGACATACTGTAAATATACAAAATTTCGGCTCTGCAAAATTTCGGCACTTCACGATTTTTGACATTTTGGCGGCGATTTATTTTCGGCGTGGGGTAGATCAGAGGGCACGGTATAGTGCGACAGATGCTGTGAAAATTTTTATCGGCGTTTTAATTTAGGCGTTTTGGGTCGGTGCCGAATATAGCTGAAATTAAATAGCTGCCGAAAATTGGTATATTTACAGTAAGTACTTTTCAGCGAAGAGACTATTTGATTTGAGAATGGTGTGTGTAGGGAACTCCATGCAGCGGAGCTTGCATACCATCAGAAATCCTCTATTTCTATCCAACTAAAAGAAACGTCTTTGCAAAAACATACATAAAGATGTACTTGATAATCATATTGAAAAGAAGTTTCTATCAGTTTTATAGAAATTGATGATTAGGAAACTGAAGTAACAAGCATGATGACCTAGGTGAAAGCGAAGCATACGGAGGGCACTGGGATTTCCAGCCAACTGATTTGTAAACCAAGTATTAATTATCTGGATTTCCCAGAGGCTGAATCGAGTAGTCAGGGTGTATGGTGCTAGATTTACACTTTTTCATTTTTTCATACATAACACGGGGTTTGATCCTGAACACACACTGACACGTCAGCTACATATATAACACGGGGTTTGATCCTGAACACACACTGACACGTCAGCTACATACATAACACGGGGTTTGATCCTGAACACACACTGACAGGTCAGGTACATATTACGGAGTTTGAAACTCGGGTATTGAGCCAATAATAAAAGTAGAAAGGAAAAGGATATATGGAAACGAGTTAAGAGTAACTCTCCACCACTGTAACTAGATACTATATACAGTCAGAAAGTGCAACAACTAGGCACAAAACTGACAGAGTACTGAGACATTCGACGTCCTGACACCTAGCTTCAACACATCTCCGTAGCGCTAACCGACAGCCTTCCAACTTGGAAGGTTCAAGGTTATGGAAAGACCAAAGAGGGGAAGGCAAGCGCAACGAAAACGAGCACACGCTACAGTCCCAACGGAACAAAGAATGTCGATTGTCACTGGACGATGACGAGACCAGTAGGCGATTTGACAAAGCGGTCTAACTACAATTCGAAGCAGCAAAGCAGCACACCACCCAACTTGGGTGGGTCAAAAATATCAAAGATAAGTTAAGAAGGGGGAAGCTTTGCGAGAACGAATTGTACAAGCCGAAATCTAAACTCCTACAGTACTCCTCATGCATGACATTGTGATGGACTAGTTGACTACAAAACAAGTTGTTTCACACGACGTACGTTTCGCCGTATGGTTCGTGACGGCTCATCAGGTGTGCAATTTGAAACTCGGGTATTGAGCCAATAATAAAAGTAGAAAGGAAAAGGACAAATGGAAACGAGTACTCTGTACTCTGTCAGTTTTGTGCCTAGTTGTTGCACTTTCTGACTGTATATAGTATCTAGTTACAGTGGTGGAGAGTTACCCTTAACTCGTTTCCATTTGTCCTTTTCCTTTCTAATATTACGGAGTAATTATTATTATACTGTGGTGCTAGCTTATCGTTTTTCTTCTTCTTCGCTTTCCCAATTGTTCGCACACATAACGTGGTGTTGGAACATGCACTCTCTCCTTGCATGCATTCCTTCCACACACTTCGCATACATACTCATCCTACCAACTTGCTTCACGTTATGATCCTTGCGTTGACAGCCCTCTTTCACTATTTGACCAGCTTCTTTACTGGTATGGTATTGTTGCACACCAGGCATGCTGCATCAGTTATTTTTTTTATTTTATATCACCTTCCCGTGGCCAGAGAATATAGGCCAATATGGAACGACGGAGGCGGTAGCCAGCCATGGTAGTAAACAAAAACGAAGCAAAAATAAATAAATATCCCTTTATGTACTGATTTCCAGCACCGAATGAAGCAGAATTTAAATTTTCTGCACAATTTACACCTTTAACAGGCTATAACTTTGACCTCCTTCACTGCATTTCCACAATCTTGGGCTCTTTGGAAAGCTCCTGGCGAGAGCAACGCCAGCATACCAGACTCCGTCAACTAGCTGCCACAAATCAGGCATGGGATTACAGCAAAGTCCACCCCAAGCCCAATGTGCGAGTAAATTCCACCATCAATGCCATTCCACTCTCTATCACAGAAAGCTCTTTTCGAGGCGATTCAAACCTCAGCCAACTACGTCATTATCATGTGCTCAGTTGGTCAAAGAGCACACGAATACGGATTTTCCCCCTAAAATGACAAAGAGATCGATCAAAGTATTACAATAACCTACGAGGAGACAATAGTCGTAAAATGGCAATGAATATAACTCAGGGTTGCCACTTACTCCGATTTTTTGGAAATCGTGCGATTTTTGAACGCCTGTCCGACAAAGCGACCGATTTTTGTTCCCAAAGAGGGACAAGCGATTATTATTTTGAGCGCTTTTTAGTCCAGTTGGCCCTTAAATTAATTCATAATTGACATGGTTGTAGTGCGTGTGCTGGAAAGTTAAAAATGTGTTCTGGGGCCCCAACAGCAAGCCATTTTCCTAAACATTTTCACCAAGGGGGCCCTGCCCCCTGCACCCCCGCGGGGGACACCCCAGCACCCCCGTCAGATTTTTCTCCCTCCAAGTGTGGCAGCCCTGATTGTGCACTCATGAGCCATGACCATGTACATGTTCAATTTAGTTTTTCTGCTGAATGGTCACCGTTTCCGATTGGAAGAAGTCCTTTTTTTGGAATTTGACGAAATTATTCATCGACTAATTTTCTCTGCACACGGATTGAGAGTGAGTGGATATTGCAGCAGCCGAAATACCTTCGCGTTTGAATTGCCGTTGCTGCGCTTCACTACGAACAATACAATACCACGTGGACAAATGTGAGCACACGACACGGAGTACAGTAAGATCGGGCGCCGAAGAACGCAGGGGCTCGAGCGCAGCCTAGGAAAGTTCTTTAAAACTTTGGGGTGTAGATCGACATTCCAAAGCCCGCACAAAATCTTTTGAAGGGAACCATGAAATTGGCATACCCCTCAATATTGGCCCAATATTGGCACGATTTATGGGTCTACAAACGAGCCACGGCACAGCGTACAAGAACAAGCTACGAACAAAACTCCATCAAGCCATCATTACCTCACCTTAGAAGAGTTCTTGGGGCAGCACCACTTAGCCACGCCAGCATCCCAGAAGACGAGGGAAATCATCCCTTGACGCCACAAATGATCGTCTTGAAAATAGCCAAATTACAAGCGCTGATAAAACAGCGAGCTACGTCCTCAATTAGCAAACACTATACACCGGCAGATAGTAGAACACCTCTTCTAGCACTGAGGACATGTCCCCCATCATCCTTTTGGGGTTTTCTTGAAATAAACAATTTTGAATTTTTCCACTCGACCATTCTGAAATACGTCCAAACTCATACCTGCGCAGGAAAGCTCGCCCCTCCGCGACGTCTAGTCAGCAATTTCTACTCCAACACCACTCCCAACGCTGCAGAACAAAGTGTATTGTTGACTCTGACAAGGAAAAGCAGCGGTGATCACTTGTCACTCCAAACGACAAGCTTCTCCTTGCGCCACCAACATTTTTCGTTGCAACAGTTGATGCAAAAGTGACTGAATTTTTGCGTGTAGTTTTTGGATTTTACTGCAAGAGGAATGAAGAAATCACGTGCCTCGTGACACAAGAATGCCAGGTCTCGTAGATCACGGTTCAGCAGTTGTTCCGAGTCACCTTGACCAAGCGCTCCTGCACTTACATGGATCACCCGTTGATCTGGATCGGATCAAGTGCATCTTGATGTCCAGCTCAAGAGCACGCATGTCGTGTTGAAGGCCTTCCAGCTGGGACTTTCCCTCTACATGCAGCACAGAGACGGGCGGCGAGTAGGGTCAAATCACGTTGTTCATGACGTAAGAAATCTGCCAAGTGGCCGCGCCACATACTTCATGCAACCAGTGTTGGCCGCGCGCTGGTCAACTCCAAACGACCTTGATGGCATGGACCACGCTCATTCCTTGCTGTTGCAGATCTACGTGGATCATCAGCATGTAAACCAGCCGTAGTTCCTGCTGAACCATGTTCGGGATGAGCGAGGTTAGTGTGAAAAAATGCATCCCTGTTCTTACTGCAAGAGGAAATGTCTCCAAGAATTCTTGCCAATGCAATACTGCTAGCGTTATAACGATAGTTTCTGCATGTTCTGAGCAGAGCATGCAAGAAATATAATGCATCTTACCTCCTCCCTCATGGTCCGTTTCGAATAGCGCCTCAGGAACGATCCTGATCGTGTGCATTGTGTCGTGTACCAGAAAGCATTATTCTACGTCACGATCCACGTGATTTCTTCATTCCTCTTGCAGTAAAATCCAAAAACTACACGCAAAAATTCAGTCAATTTTGCATCAACTGTTGCAACGAAAAATGTTGGTGGCGCAAGGAGAAGCTTGTCGTTTGGAGTGACACGTGATCACCGCTGCTTTTCCTTGTCAGAGTCAACAATACACTTTGTTCTGCAGCGTTGGGAGTGGTGTTGGAGTAGAAATTGCTGACTAGACGTCGCGGAGGGGCGAGCTTTCCTGCGCAGGTATGAGTTTGGACGTATTTCAGAATGGTCGAGTGGAAAAATTCAAAATTGTTTATTTCAAGAAAACCCCAAAAGGATGATGGGGGACATGTCCTCAGTGCTAGAAGAGGTGTTCTACTATCTGCCGGTGTATAGTGTTTGCTAATTGAGGACGTAGCTCGCTGTTTTATCAGCGCTTGTAATTTGGCTATTTTCAAGACGATCATTTGTGGCGTCAAGGGATGATTTCCCTCGTCTTCTGGGATGCTGGCGTGGCTAAGTGGTGCTGCCCCAAGAACTCTTCTAAGGTGAGGTAATGATGGCTTGATGGAGTTTTGTTCGTAGCTTGTTCTTGTACGCTGTGCCGTGGCTCGTTTGTAGACCCATAAATCGTGCCAATATTGGGCCAATATTGAGGGGTATGCCAATTTCATGGTTCCCTTCAAAAGATTTTGTGCGGGCTTTGGAATGTCGATCTACACCCCAAAGCAAACCTACCTGCAAAATTTGAGCGAAATCTGAGAGATCGACTTGCACATATGTTCTGGTTTTCTCAGACATGCTCTCTTAAAATTTTGATTCTAGCCAGACCGTTCTTATTCACACGCGCGCGGCGAGGCGAGTGACGTCATCACGTTTGTCATGTACATGTACATGTACATGTACATGTAGTGCAATGTAGTACTTCTAAACTAGTGGGTGTCGTAAATGGGAATGACTGTACATGTAGCAGTTACTGTTTACACGTGTACATGACATGTACTCACCTCCCATACATGAACAATGTAGATCTACGTGTAAATTCGCAATTTCGTGTAAGTACATGTACACTGTCCATGTATGACAACGTACATGTATTACTATTATTATTATTATTATGACAGGTGTTGTGGCGAGCTCAAAGCCGATCAGTTAAATACTGCACTCATGTGGAAATTCCAAATTTTAAAAGTGTTCTTAAATCTGATAATTCTAGTCTGGACTCTTCTTAAATTTTGCCGGTTTTCCAGCCTGGGTGTTCTTCGGCGCCCGATCTTACTGGGACTGAATGGGAGATGCTTACCTGACTTCAAGCCAGGGAGAAGCACCTGCTCCCGATAACGGCCGGGTGGTTCCTGTCCGGCGTCCACTATTCTGGTAACGTTGACCCGGACGATTGGTAGTCCCACAAATCTAAACGCCACCTGCCGATGGGCAGGTAACGAACGAAAGCGCTTCACTTCCGCAACCAATTGCGACGGAGCGTCACTCAAATACCCAGAAAAGAACAATATGAAGGGCCGCAAGCAGAACACGCATCCGCCCAAAACACCCACAGACGGCAACGAGCGAGGAAAAATCGATTCCGCATTCACCTGAAGCACGGACGGTGCAGCAGTCCACTCCAAGATCCTCTCTACACGTTCGCTGCACGCTCCAGCGGCCAGAGCTCTGTGGCTTCATTCATCTGTCTGATCTGACAGAAGATGTAGATCTAAGCATAGATTATGTACATGACTGTACAACATGACATCAGATTCTACTGCCTGCTCCACACTACAAAAGTACAGTGCTACTCGTGTACAGCAACACGTACTACTAAGTACTAGTACGAGAAGGTCTAAAATCATTGCGGGCCGATCTTTCCGCTGATACCACGCCAACTCCGAAATGAAGCCGACTGTCGACTGTGTCGCCAGAGGCGCACTAGCTGTTCAAGTGTCATCACATGCAACAGTGAGCGATGTCGCCTAGCCTGTACAGTGTCTACTATGATTATGTAGACGCTACGCTTGTCTGTTCACACACATACACGTCACGTGGTATAGGCTAGATCGTAGTAGAAGCAAGGCAGGGCAGACTGGGAAATGAGATCCTTTTTTTCGGGCAGTAGCTACAGCAAAGGCAAAGACGTTAAAAGGCTGGCGGCATCCACAGCAGCACTCTGCATAACATACCATCATCATGCATGTACTAGTAATTGAAGTCATTCATACTGAGCCCGAGTCACGTTTTTATTACATTTTTATTTCGTCCAGTCGGCTACTACATGTATCATAATCGTCTTGGGGGTTAGACAATGGCAAGTAGCCATGTAGAGGCGTGAACCCGCCTTTCGGCACCGGAAGAGGACCCCAACCTGATCTGGTGAGCTGCGTCGCGTTTTGATCATGCAGACTGAGGCTACTCATTTTCACAGTTCGGCCTCCACTAAGGCCGCGGTCACACATGAAAGTTTGCACCGCTTTTGTGGAGGCAAAAAGCGTAACTACCGCAGCCGCTTTGGCGGACCACACGATGCAGCGGTCACACATACATGTAGACTACTGTGCTCCTCAACGCTCCGCTTTGGCGGAGAGAATGCAAATGCAGCACGTCCTATGAAATTTTGGATGTTATAGTCCTAGTTGAAGCGACCTTCGCTTGTACAAGTAGAGCTATCATGGATCGCTGACAGGCTGCTGAGTGTCTCCTGTCAAGTACACTCGTGGATTCGGGGCACATCCACTGGCGGCCCAGTACTGGTGTACATGTATTTGAATAATAGTTTAGTTTACATCAAATTCAATATCAAAATTCATTCAAATAGTTTCAAATATTCTTTTCACCCTGGCCGACACTGTGTGTGACGTATAGGTGAAGATTCTTGCAATTATTTCCAGCAATGAGCAATGACAGGCTTGATTAGAGCAGTCAGACCCATTCCTTGACGGAGTGTACTAATACTATTATGACTAATCCTCCCGCTAAAGTCATGACGTCACTAAAACACGATCACTACTGCACCTTCCTGCACTCTACGACAGCCAAACAACACATGTACAGGACATGGACATGGGACGACTGTACATGTATTGTGATGACTATTGAATTCCTACATCACACAACTACTGTTCATGATACCGACTGACTGGCTGAACATGCTGCACAACTCTCAAGTCCACATCTACAGTTCATGATACCCGGGTATTCACACTGACTGGCCTGCTGAGAGTTTGCCAGTCTTGTGCAGAGTGTAGACTGGGACCACAACAAGTAAACAGTTGACCATCATGCTCATAACACGAAACCATAATTATGGAAATGTATCCAGCGGATAACGTCATTCGCCTAACTGACAGGATGCCGCAGAGAACACTGGCGGACCTCGCCGCGAAATATGTTTGCGACATGTAAAGCGTGTACAGTGAATGTGCCCATGCCTGACCAAAACACGCACTGTTATGTAGCCGAGTTAGTCAGACTAATGTTTACGCTTTTTAAATGTGTGTTTTTAAAGTATTGTAATGTACCCGAGTTTATTTGTTTGTTTGTTTGTTTTTGTGTTCATTTTACTTTACACATTGAAAACACAGGACCACTCTTGCTAATAACATAAACTGGTGAATAGGAAAAGAAAGAAGCAAAGGAGAAGAGGAAATAAAAAATCGCAGCATAAAAACAGCCCAGGCTCCAGAAGTGCTCAGGAACGGACAGACACTGATCGTATTATTCACAGGGGCACGCTACCTCAAGTAGAAGTACAGTGCTGAAATCCGACCTCCTTAGTGCTTTAGCGCTTGTATCCTCACGTAGTCCTTTTAATAGGGAAACGATATTCATGATATTCTTTATGGTTGTTTTGGGCCTTTTTTTCTTTTTCTTCCCATGCATCCCCGTTTCTGGTGCTCTGGTGGCATGCTGTTGTTAGGACCACGGGTCGGTGGGGTGCATCCAGCTTCACCAACGCCACTATTCTGTAATATCCATATTCCTATTGCTCTCTATTGTACTTCTCACATTATTTTATTGCCGTGCGACATAGCTATTGCACATTTTACCTGCGGTCACCTACCCCCTCCTAGCTCCTAGCACAACATTGAACCGTCCAAACTGGAAGTATGTTGGTTTAGGCAATGAATATTTGTTACAGCTACATGTGAGGTGTCTGGTAGTGGAATGTCTCAGTAGCCTATCAGTTTTGTGCTAAGTATTAGTTACCACGCTTTCTAACTGTGTATTATCTTGTCACAGTATTGTCCAGTAACTCATAACACGTGATCCATACGTCCAGTCTTATGTTTACTTTACCTTCTTTTCCTTTTACTTTCGACTTCTTATTTTTTTTCTCTGCTTGCTGTGGTTGGCTAAGAAAACCCTGCAATCGCAACGCAAAGTATTCAGTGGCAGATCTAGCCATGTACGCAGCATAGTTTTGAATAAAACTTTTAAACTAAACTGCATGGATGATGGATACTGGCCGGTCTCACCACGACAGAAGGTTTGCAACTTCTACTAGGCCTTCCGGCACTGAGTGTGACCTGGTGACAATCCGTGACAATGCTTGCACTGTTTCTAACGTCGTGTCTGCCAAAGATCTTTGGAGCTGATGCCTTGTTCTCCCGAGTGGGGGGGGGGGGGGGAGGGGGTAATCTCGCTTTAAACCGGATCAATTGACAACAAGCCTACAATTACGAGTCGTTAAAGCCCGTTGTTGCTTTCTCTCCCCTCTCCTCTCACCCAAGCCATTCTGCATAAGCGAAGCTGTGGACGCAGCATGCTGCTGCTACACTTCAACGCGGGAATGCGTATAATAATAATAATAATAATAATAATAATAATACAAGAGAGAGTTTGGAAGCTTTGTCACAACTCCGAGTTTCACGTATCTCTACGATCATCAGGCAACTGATGGATCCAAAACGGGCAGCCAGAACATAAGGGGGAGCAAGGTGGGAAATCCCGAGGGGTGTCATAGGCGACGCGTATCATAGCGCAAGAGTCAGGTGCAGGCGTGAAGTTGCCAAGTCTTCAGACTTGGGGCTATGCAGCAGTAGTTCCGGCATGAATGATATAGAATAGAGCTGGGGGCAAATGCCAAATCCACACATGCCCACACCACAACACAAACATACACCCACACTCTCTCCCTTTTCTCACATACACATACACTCACACGCGCGTCCGCACACACATTCTCTAAATCTCTCTCTCTCACACACACACACACACACACACACACACACACACACACACACACACACACACACATTCATACTCTATATCTCACACATGCACACGCACACACACATTCATTCTCTATATCACACACACACACGCATTCTCCAAATCTCACACACACATTCTCTAAATCTTACATACACACACACACATTCTCCAAATCTCACACAAACATTCTGTCTCTCTCTCTCTCTCTCTCTCTCTCTCTCTCTCTCTCTCTCTCTCTCTCTCTCTCTCTCTCT